AGTTTCTAATTTTTTTTTTATGTTGACAAGATTAGCATTATTAAATTTTCTTCCAGTCTCTTTTTGACTGTAGTTCTCCTGATTACTTAACAAAGGAAAACCGAGACCCAAACAAATCAAGCACATCCACACACCCATCCATATAGGACCCAAAACACCTTCTCAGGCTAAAGCAGGGCCCAGTAGTAACTGGAGAAGGAAAGAGTACAGGGTGGTGAGCTCATTGTACTTTTCTCCTTTTCAGTGGGGTTCAAAATATTCCTGTTCATTGTTAATTGATCAGGAGTGGCTACCTATCAGCAGGGTGTTGGCTCTAGCTCCTCTTACCGCAAAATGTGATTAGGGTTATGATTTCTAGCAGTACAGTCACAATAACACAATTTAATTTAAGCAAAAGCAAATCATGGGGCCACTGAAGTTCATTATAATGGGATCTCACTCATACTTGTATTCTACTAAGAATGTAAATCCACCTGGTAGAGGTTTTTTTTACCCTTTCTCTTTGAAAGCTATATGCCAATTTAATTTATATATTCTGTTCTCACAAGGGAATAACTATGAACACCAATTCTGTCCATGAGTATCAATATTTCAGGACAGATACAGAGTGTTTGCAAATCATTTGGTAAGAAAGATATTCATCAATGAAAGGAAATACATTGGTGTAATTTTTCCCTTATTGTGCTGCATCACACTTCAAACTAGAAAAATACTTTTAATGAAGCTATTCCTCAGTTCCATCATGGAGACCAAAATTTAGCTTGCATGAGAAATTTAACATTGATTTATTTCCCAGAGGAAAGAAGACTGTTGAAATAATTGCACTTTTTGGACAGAAAAAGAGGACTTGCGTTCAATCTACTTTATATAAGAAACAAATATAGAGCTATGTGTGTCACATGCTTTTTCTGAACTTGAATATGAACTAATCCAATCCTTTCCACTACTTTATGAAATGGATACTGTTACAAATTTCTTTTTGTGAATGAGGAAACTGAGGCAGAAAGGTTAAATAAATTACCTGAGGGCACATAGCTACCAAATAGTAGAGCTGGGAATCCAACCCTGGCAGTCCAATTCTGGAATGCATGCTTTTAATCAATACTCCCACTGGAGGCTGCTGAGGACAGGGTCAGGGAGAGATGGTACTGGAATTCTAGGCTTGCTTCAGATTTTTCAAATGCAAACCACCTAAGAAAGTGTGAAGAACCAATGTATATGCCATAGGTCAGTAAAGCAGACATGTATAGGACTGGGCTTCTCAAAGTTCAGTGTACATAAGAATCAGCTGAAGAGCTCATTAAAACACAAGATTCCTGGGCTTCTTTGGCAGATACTCTGCTTCAAAAGATGGGCACAAAGATCTGTGCCAATGCTGGCTCAGCAATCACTATTTGAGCAGCACTGGTATAAGGGGGATCTGCATCCTGAGGAGCTGAGGTGAGTAGGCTCTCTGATGGGGTGAGATGCAATTCTGGGTAAGAAATAAAAAGTTGTCAGTGAATAAAGCACCAGAATGGTAATTGCTGACAAGATGGCCTTTGTTATGGCCATGGAGATATTTTTTTTTTTTTTATCCTCACCTGAGGACATCTTTACATTCATCTTTAGATAGAGCGGGAGGGAGAGAGAGAAACATTGATGTGAGAGAGGCACATCGACTGGCCACCACCCACACGACCCCAAACGGGGCCAGGGACAAACCTCAATCAAGGTACGGTGCCCTTAGTGGGAACCAAACCTGGGACTCTCTGGTCCGTGGGCCGATGCTCTAACCACTGAGCCAAACTGGCCAGAGCCAATGGAGATGATTTTATACATGCAATCATTTTAATTTAGCAAGGGCTTCCCAGAAAGGGGTGAGTAAGGAGGTCACAACCCAAGAACCAAGGAACAGAGGCACACTAGTGAAGGGATGCAGATGTAACGGAGGGTTGGGGAGATGGGGGGGAAATTTCTGGGTCCTTTCAAGATGTTTGAAGGCCGAGGATTTCTAAGTCTTAAATTCATTCTTATGAATTGTAAAAGTATCAGTGGTTATGGTTCGAGGGGAATACGTTTGCCAACTGAGGGTTTCAAAATTCTTATGTGTTTGGTTAGTTACTTAGTGTTTGTGAAATGTGTTAGTTTCTTCTGTTAATTATATGTCGTGTTTTATGGCTAGATTTCTCCTCTTTTCTTTCAATCCTCTCTTTCTTTCTTTCTTTCTGAGAACATTTGTAGAAAAACAACCATGTGCTAGACTTTGCAAGTAGGCATGGGGATCAGGGAGTCTGTGGTCTAGGAGGGGAAACAGACATTAAACATGCAATGAAGCAAGTACTTCATGTATTAATTGCAATAGTGATCAATTCCATGAAGGAATTACTGGGGTTGGAAATGAATGGTTGTGGTGGTAAATCTGTGAAAGATGGTACATCGTTGCTTGTGATGCTACATCTACTCCTGAGAAATATCCATACTAGAGAAAGTCAGGTTGCCTTCATCTGTGGTATCTGTCCCATGGTTACATTGAAATGAGAAATTTCTCTTGACATGGGTTTGAGTTATTTCATTCTTGAACAAGAAAATAAGGGAATATCTAATGGACTTGTGGATGTTTATTCTAAATATTTTTTCCTCTGAAATTATCACATGTGGACGTCTAACCACCTTGAAAATTACTGTTACTTTTCTGTTGATCACATGACCTGTATGGGCAAGGCTCTGTTCTACTGTCTGTTTCAGGCTGTAAAACAACTACAGGTCAGGGGCCCAGAGCTATGCAATTAATTTTCTCTGCACTGAGAGAGCTTCATACATGATTAGGTGCTAAAATGATTTTTCATTCTGGGGCTGATGCTTGTTGAAGTTTTCCTATGAATTTGATTGATGGTCTAAAGGATGCTTGGTTTTACAAAGATAATATTAATGACTGTGTTTAATACAGAGTTAAGAAGATATATCTTGTAAGCCAAAGCTTCAAAAATTAGTAAGAAAGTCATAGATGACATACATTTTTTTAATGGTATGTCATAGGGCCATAAGCTTATGTAGAGTTTGTTATTTTGAGATAAACCTCTGGGTGGTGGTTATGGAAATGAGGAATAACCATGGAGCATGGCAAGATGTTAACTAGATTTGTTAAGTAAACAGACAATAACATTAAACTTTAGTAAATGTCACAAAGATAAAATCATGTTCCAAAGTGCTATGACTATCGGTATAGATATTGTCTCTTCTCTAAATCACTAATATGGAAGTTGCAATTATTTTTATGATCTCCTAGGCCTCTTAAAAATATTATGTGTGGATATATATTATATATTATTATTAATATATATTCTATATCAAAGTATTAATATAAAGTACTATATATTGATAAATATTATATATTTATTAAAATCTGTATAAAAGTACAAACATTCTCTAAGAAAATAAGCAAAAGTACTCCTTTGAGCAAGAATTAGATAAAATATTTTGAAAACATTGCAGCAGGTATTCTATCAATTTTAACATTATTTAACTAATAGCTTTATATTTTGTGTTGCACGTGACTTAGAATCCCAATGACATTTTCTGGGACATGTGAAACAAAGTTGAGTCTTGGCGGTCATTTAACTGTACTCTGACAGCAGCTTGGCATAAAGAGCATCAAGAGGCGGTTCTCAACCTTTCTAATGCCGTGGCCCCTTAATACAGTTCCTCATGTTGTGGTGACCCCCAACCATAACATTATTTTTGTTGCTACTTCATAAATGTAATTTTGCTACTGTTCTGTCTTAGGCGACCCCTGTGAAAGGGTCGTTTGACACCCAAAGGGGTCGTGACCCACAGGTTGAGAACCGCTGCTAGAGGCTTCGCAAGGTCTGCATTTCCAGGTTTGCTCTGTTTGCAACAAACAGTATCTTGTCTGGCCATCCAGAAGGTGTGAAAGCTGATCCATTCACTACTCCTCTTTTTTCTTCCAGCGCTAAATCTTTCCTATTCTATATCTCAGCTAAACACCCTTATCTGGGACTATTTGCTGTCAAAATTGGGAAGCAATTTAGCTCCTTAATTTAGAGAAGAACCTCAAATACACATTTGTTTAGTTTTTTCACAAGAGTGAATCCAGTTCAACAAGAGTTTACCCAGACATTGTGGGTAAACATTTCCCTCTTTTGATGAGGCTCCCCTGAAACTATCTTAATTCACAATGGGGCTGCCCCATGCTTGCTGCTCATTTACTTGATATCCTTTGGGCTACCTAGAACACACTATTTTGAAGTAGGTCTTGATTTTTCCAGCTCTGTGGTTTTTACATTTTCTCAATCTGGGTCCTTTAGTTGGCATTGGTGTTGAACAGTAAACCTCTGCAACCTTTAGTTCTCTCATTTGTAAAAATAACATTTTTTTATAGGTTGTTGTAAGGATTGATTAACATGTAACAAGGACTTAGCACAATGGTTGACACACAGTATACATACTCATGAAAATTTTTTTATAGTTAAGAATAATATAGATTTTTGCCCGGCTGGTGTGGCTCAGTGGATTAAATGTCCTCTCACGGACTGAGAGGTCCTGGTTTGATGTCCAGGTTTTGGGCTCGATCCCCGTGTTGGGGTGTGTGTGTGTGCAGGAGGTGGCCCTTTGGTGTATATCTCTTTTTTTTTATCCTCATCCAAGAACATTTTTGCATTTATCTTCAGATAGAGCAGGAGGGAGAGGGCAGGGGGAAGAGAGAGAGAGAAACATCGATGTGAGAGAGACACATCAACTGGCGCCACCCACACGACCCCAGCTGGGGCTGGGGACAAAATGCAACCGAGGTACCTGCCCTTAGTGGGAACCAAACCTGGGACTCTGGTCTGTGGGCTGACGCTCTAACCGCTGAGTCAGACTGGCTAGGCCTGGTCTCTCTCTCTCTCTCTTTTTAAAAAGAGAAATGTTGTGTTTAATGGTAAAGCTTAGCACGCTCCAGCATTGGGCATGGCCTGGAGTTAAAGCAGTAGGGATGGGTAGGTGACCCCCACGGAGCCTCACATGGCGAAGAGGAAGGCGACCATCAAACAGAAGAGCTGCATGGCCTCAGACAGTGCAAAGCCCAGAATGGCATAGGAGAAGAGCTGCTGCTTGAGAGACAGGTTCCTGGCATCGCCAACGATCGAACTGCCCAACACTGTTCCAATTCCAGCCCCTGAACCAGCCACACCCACTGTGGCAGCCCTGGCACCAATAAACTTGGCTGCTGTGTCGATATCCTGGGAGACAGCACTGGTCTGGAACTCCCGTCTGGCCACCTGGAGTGGGGAGCTGCTGTAGGAAGGCTGTTCAGATGGAATCTCTGGCCAACTCAGGAAGGAGGCAGACACAGGCCTGACTAGACCCCTGGTACAACAGCGGAGCAGAGCCGAAGGAATGAGTAGTGCCCCGGTGGTCTGCATTTTTTCAGTCTCCCAGCTTTAGCTCTAGGTTTCCTGGTGTGTCTCTCTTGCATTGTTGTTTCTATCTCTCTCCCGTCCTTTCTCTCTCTCTCTAAAAAAAAAAAAGAATATAGATTTTTGATCTGAGAATCATAAAGGGAATATCCAGGTAACTACTAAAGTCTCTATCTGATGGAGTGATTAAGAATCAGAATCATATTTGTGATGTATCCAAACTTTAAGGAGCAGTATGTTTGGGAATATCAGGTAGAGTAAAAACGCATGTAGAACTGGAAATGCTTGCTGTCTACTGAAGAGTTAACAGCGAACGGCACACTCAGTGGTAAAAGCTGGAAGCTTTTCCTCCGAGTTCAGGAATAAGAGAAGGATGCCCACTCTCACCACTTTCATTCAACACTGTATTAGAAGTTCTACCCAGAGCAATTTGGCAAGATAAAGAAAAGGCATTGAATTGGAAAGGAAGAAGTAAAACTCTCATTACTTATGGATGCATGACAGAAAATCTTTAGAAAATCCTAGACTCCACCGAAAAACTGTTGGAACAAATAAACATGTTTAGTAAAATTGCAAAATACAAAATCATATAAAATCTGTTGCATTTTTATACATTAACAACAAAATACTGATTGTGTGTGTGTGTGTGTATATATATGTATATATATATATATATTTTTCTGATATGTATGTGTGTAAAAGAATGAATTGAACATTTTATTAGAATGAGATATTTATAGAGTTTCCTAGTAATGCTCCCACATAAAATATTTACTAACTTAAAAGGGAAAAATATAACATTTTAGTGGAGAAGCCTGTAGATACCACCAAATATAATGAATTAAGAAGTACAAATTGGTAGTTGATGAACCTCAAAGGGAAGGGGGGAGGGAAGGTGGGATGAGAAAAACCAAAGAACTTTTATGCATATATGCATAACCAACGGACACCGACAATAGTGTGGGGAAGGCAGAAGGTGGGCAGGATTGCGGAGGAGAGGGGTCAATGTGGAAAAAAGGGGAGACATCTGTAATACATTCAACAATAAAGATGAGTTAAAAAAATATCCAAGTTACCTATACCACTAATAAATCAAAATGTATACAAACTTATAGGATGCAGTGAGAAGGCAATATCACATCTGTGATATTCCTGCCAAAGATTTGTAACCTTAAATCTAATTGTGAGAAGTGTCAGCCCAAGCCAAATTGAAGAACACTTTACAAAATAATTAGACTGTCATGATCAAAAGTGTCAAGGTCCTGAAAGTCAGGAAAAGACCAAATGCACATGTGATTCTGAAGCAGATGCTTTTGCTATAAAGAACATTATTAGGATAAATGCTGAGCCTTGAATGAGGTCTGAGGATTAGAGGGCAGCAGTACATACATCATTGTTACTTTTCTGATTTTGATGGTTGAATAATGGTTATATAGGAGAATCTGTTTATTTTCAAGAAAATACCCTAAAGAATATACTAAAGTATTGACATTCTCAATAGGTTCAGGAAAAATAACATATTTTCTTGCATCTTTTCTATAATTATTGATCATTTTATAATAAAAATATATTTTAATTTTATTGTATTAATATATATTACAATTAAAACTAAATCTGTTGACTACTCCTCTAAGGGTTTACCATATGTTAAGTCATTCAGTCCTTCTAGCAACCCTATGAGATAGGTACTATTACCACCCCTACTGTGCTGAATAGGAAACCAAAGCACAGGGAAGTCAGATAACTTCCACATATTTATATGGTGAATAAGTGATATAATTTAGTTTTGAACTAAGGCATTTTCATGGCAAAACCCTTCCTTGTAACTATTAATGCCCCCCTGGCATTTCAGACTTTGTTTATACTATCATATCAGTCATCCAAAAATATTTGCTATCATTTGGATCTGGGGACATTCTCCTTGATCTGTAATTTTAGTAACAGCTTCGTTTCCATCTACGAGTCCCATCATTTCCTAAGCCAGAGCTTCCCAGTCCGTGTGCCATCAATGGGTAACTCATGCTTTGAGACAGTGAGCCCTCAGCTCTGGGTCAGCAGGGCTCCTCAGCCATGACTGACCACTGGGACCTGGGCCAACCACAGCTCAAGGACCAGGCTTTGTGGCCCCTGAGAATCAGTGCAGATATATCTCATTATTTGCTATGAACATCATGATCTGAGATAGGGAAGCATTTTTGGGATAGTATTTCTCTCTCCGTCAGCCTTTTGCTACAGTAGATGGTGAACATATAATCACCTCTCTGCAATAAATTCACTGCTTTTTTCTACAGACAAATATTCTTCAGAAAACCTACATCAAGTAGAGTAGAAAATTAAAGGCAGAATCTATTTGGTGTCCCATTAGATGTTCTGCTCTCTTCTTGTCTAGACCTTATTATATTTAGGTGCTGAAATATTTAATTATTTTCCTCCCTGGTATTGCTGTATGCACATGTATATGTACAATGCATGTACTTGTGGTGTCTTTTGTTAAGTCGAGTCAAGATACATTTCTATAATTGTGGTAGGTTGAATTATGATGCAGTTTTTCAGTTGACAGGTAGTAATGTGGTACTCTGTAGAACTATATAAAATATTGTAAAATACTTTGGTATGCATAGTACTTTTTGTAGAGTAGAGAATGGATTACTGTATTGCAGTGAAGAAATGATTGCCTCTCCAAAATATAATTTGGTCGATAATCATAATTTCTATTAAGCAAATGTTCAGACAATCCTGCATCCATCACCTTAAATCCATTTAAAAAGCTTTCTCCAGTTCCAGATTGTATGAATAACTGTTATGTTTAATATAGAAACTAATGTTGATGTCTCCCCTGATATGAAAATGAGAAGTCTAATTTTAACTAATAATTCTGCCAGTGTTATATAGTGACTAAAAGAGACCTAGTGCTGTGGTTTATAATGAATGTATTACTCAGGGCTGCTTCTGAAGGAGAAAAGGGATAATTAGAGTAAAGAATCTTTTCCTCATAACTTAAATGTTAATGTCTTCCTTTTTTTCCCTGAAATTTCCAGTAAGGCATTATATCTAAGAAGGGCAAGCCAATTTAGAAGGGTTATATTTCAGAGCTATAGAAGACAAATGCACCACAATTTGATCCAAGCATTGAATAAAATTTTTTGTTGATGACTTTGTATGGCCCGTGTCTTGCTCATTGTGACTGGTAACTGACAGTGAATAAGGAATCACTTGCATTTAATTTTTTGCCAAAAATATTTTTTTTTCTTTTTAAGCAAATAAGAAGTGGGGGTTAAACTCATACAGATAGAATCAATGTATATGTTCAAAGGCAACAGCTAAATCTTCAAAAATAATAAATTATAGAGAAATTAGTAATATAAATGAATACAGGCTAAAAAAGTTATAGATCATGTTGCAATTTCTTTCCCAAGTACTACTATAAATTAAGAGAATTGTGCCATTTTGGAATTTCCTTCTATAAATGCTATGTCTTTGTGACCTAGAATGTGAAAAGGAAGACAAAACAAAACAATTATCTGATTAATTTATAAAATACTTCCTTAGCCCCAACTATGGGTCAAGTGCTAGAAAGTAATTATTAACAGGACAGACATCATCCCTGTGCTCAGGATGCTCAGATAACTTACACATTGGTGGAAGATAGAGACATATCAACAGACAACTGATGCAGGGGGATGAATGCTAGGCTAGAAGGGGCACAAGGAGCCCAGAGGAGCAACACTATAGAGGTATTAAACACCAACTACAGTGTTGCAGGTGTCTGGTTAGGAGGTCACAGAAATCTTTCTTTGGAAAGTGATTGCTAACCTCAGGTGAAAGAAGCAGCATGTGTGGTACCCTCAGGCAAGAAAGAGCATAGCCTATTTAGGAAACTAAAATAGCTTGGCCAACTAGATTTTCCACATTTTTCTTAATCCTCACCCGAGGATATTTTTCCATTGATTTTCAGATAGAGTGGGATGTAGGGAGAAAGAGAGAAAGAGAGAGAAACTTCGATGTGAGAGAAACACAGTAATTGGTTGCTTCCTGCATGACCCCAACCAGGACCAGTGATCAAACAGCAACCGAGGCACGTGCCCTTGACCAGAACTGAACGCATGACTCTTTGGTCCACGGGCCATCACTCTAACAACTAAGGCAAACCAGCCAGGGCTGGATTTTTCTTTCTTTTAAAATTTTTTTTAACACTCTACTACTTTATGTTTCTTTTTACTATAGGCTTCTTTCCTCATTGGCTTTATTCTATAGGACATTTTGTTTCATGGAAGATGTTGTGAAAAATTTCATGGCTCTTAAATGAAATTCTGACACCAAGGGGTGTCAGGTTCACCTTCATTAGATGGAGGCTTTAAACTTCCAATTTACTAGTACATTTCAGAGTTCTTGGAATCTCCAGAAGATCACAGAACTCACACTCCCAGGGGGTAGGATGTTCTGTTTTCAGGCTCATACTACCTCCTCCTCTCTCTTCATAATAACCACACTGCCTCTATATAATATGTGTGATTAGGATGAAGGCAGGAAGGTGAACTGTAAAGGGGATAGGAGAGATATTGTAACATGAAACAAACAACCTACACACACTTCATTTCAGGTGGTTCTGAATGATGGTTGTGTTGTAGTTTTGTTGTAATTTTGATGTGGTTATGGGAGGAGGCGATACTGTGTTTACCTACACCGCTATCTTCAGAACTCTATAGTCGATTTGTCATATATTTTAAACCACTTTAATTAGGTGTAATTCATATACCTAATAAAAGCTATGTATATTTAATATATACAACCTTAGTCTGGAGATAAATATGTATCCGTGAAACCACAATTGATTGTATAAACATATCTTTTACCCGCAAAAGTTTCGTACTACCATGTTATTTATGATGATGATGATGATAATGATGATAAGAATACTTAACATAAGATATACCCCCTTAGTATTGTTAATGATAAACAATAATAAGCCATATAGTAGATCTCTTAAGTTTTATTCATCTTGCATAAATGGAACTT